AGGAGGAAGAAGGAAGAATAAAGTGTGTGGTGAGAGTAGGAGGAAGGAAATGGAGGATAGTAGGAGTATACGTGAATGGAGATATGGACAGGAAAATGGAGGGAGTGAAGGGATGGATGGAGGAGAGAGAGGGAGACAGGAGAACAATAATAGGAGGAGATTTTAACGCAAGGACGGGGGAGGAGGGAGGAGGGGAGGAGGTGGAGGAAAACAAGGGGATAGAGAAGGGAAGAAAATCAAAGGATAAGGTGGTAAATAAGGAAGGAAGGAAATTGATACAGGTAATAGAGGAAAGAGGATGGCAGATATTGAACGGTAATATAAGGGGAGATGAGGTAGGAGACTGGACGTATACAGGAGGGAGAGGACAGACGGTGATTGATTATGTGTTAGGAGATAGAGAAGTGAGAAGCGACATTGAAAAGATGGAAACAGGGGATGAAATTGACTCAGATCATTTCCCGATAATAATATGGTTGAAGGGGGAAACGAAGAAGAGAGGAGAGAAAGTTAGAGGAAGTAGGGAAGTGAATAGGGGGAGGTGGGTTGGGAAAGGAAGGGAGAAATTTAAGAGGGAAATAGAGGCGCGGTATGAGGAATTTGGGGAAATGGAGGAAGAAATGAAAGAAATGGGGGAAAGGATAAAAAGAGCGTTAAGAAAGAGCGAAGGAGATGGAAGAGAGGGAGGAGGAAGGAAAGGATGGTGGGATAGAGAATGCTGGGAAGAGAAGAGGAAGGTGAGAAAGAAGTTGAGGGAATGGAAGAAAAAGGGAGGGAAAAGAGAGGAATATAGAGAGAAGAAGAATGAATACAAAAGGCTATGTGATAGAAAAAAGAGAGAGGAAAGAGAAAGGATGGAAAGAGAAGTAGAGGAAGCAAGGACAGAGGGTAAAGTATGGGAATTATTAAATAAAGTGAGGAGGAAAAGAGGTAGAATAAATGAAGGAATAGAGATGGAAGAATGGAAGGAATATTTTATTAGGTTGTTAGGGGGGGTAGAGAGGAAAATAGTGAGAGGAAGAAATGAAAGAGGAGAAGAAGAGGAGGATGAAGAAAGGGAACTAGAATGGGAGGAGGTAGAAAAGATAATAAGAAAATTGAAAGAAGGAAAAGCAATGGGGAAAGATGAAATACCGAATGAGGTATGGAAGTATGGAGGAGAGGAGATGGAGAAATGGGCGTGGGAA